TATATATATATATACATATATATAAAATCTAATAACAGAAATATTAGATAATGGGTGAATGTTTGGGAGATATTTCACCTCATATATATTCTTAAAAAATTTTCAGAATAACATTTTTCTATTTACGCTTCTCATTTTTGGGTGATAACCCAGATATATAAATTTTATTGTAAGATTTACTATAATACTGCCATGCACATTCATAAGAAATAACAAGAAAACATAAGTTGAAAAAGTTGAGTTGTGGAATTATTTGTCATGTTTGGCTTGTAATATGATTGTGCTACCCACAATCCCCTGCACCATTGATCTGTGACTCCAGTTTGCTTATCTAGCTTCTCCTTTCTGAACTTTGAACTTTGGGAAGCTTAATATATTGGGTTTGATTGCTTTTTATGTAATTGATACACTTGAAATTTACAAAAGTAGACTTTGTTCTGTCCCTGAGATGGTGATATTGTAGTGTGTTACACAGTCATGTGTGCAGTTGTTCATTTGTGGTGCTTTTGTTTTTGTAGAATGTGAGAAAGCAGCCAGTTCCTCCTTGTGGCTCTATGTGTTTCTCGGGAACATGCTTCGTGGGGTAGGAGAGACACCCGTCATGCCTCTTGGGTTGTCTTATCTGGATGATTTTTCAAGGGAGGAAAACACTGCTGTTTATATGGGTATGATTGATTATCAGTTTTAATCATTATATTACCAATTCTGGCATACATTCAAGCCTATTAACGTCCTGCTAGTTACACTTCAACCCCATTAGATGTCAAAACGCACCAGTTTCACTTTTTCAATTTTATTTTGATTGTTTATTCTACTTACTGATCATTATTATATGTATTTGCAGATACTATTATATTAAAAAAATAAAGAGCCACTTTTATTTACTTAAAGAGTGCACTTTCATAACTGTTCCTTAACACACCGAAGTACACTTTTTAAAATACTTAAAGTGTGCTTTAAAGTGCACTCTTTTAACATACTTAAGCATGTGTAAAGTACTTGATTATAATTTTAACAGTAGTGTGTCATTCAATATTACATTTAAAGTTGATGTATTTTGAACGTTACGAAAGTGTCATTACATTTATTTACATTTTTAATAATTACATTGTTAATAAGAAATTGAGAATTAGGATGTGTGCAGGGGGGAGGCGGGGCTTAATTGTCATGAATATAATGTCATGCAAAAAAAAAAAAATGTGAAAAATATTACGCAAAATGTAATTTCTGTTTTTTTTATTTATTATTATTTTGGAGTGAAATATGATTTGGGCATGTTCTTGACCTCACCTCTCCTACTCTTTCTCTTATTAAGTTGATGTCATTGTGAATACGCATTTTTGTATTGATTGTTTTCTTTTATTGATTTTTTTTTCTCAGCTCTCATACAGACTGTGGGAATAATGGGGCCCATGTTTGGATTCATGTTAGGATCTTTCTGTGCCAAGCTCTACGTAGACATAGGAGCAGTGAACTTAGGTATTCACCTGTTTAACCAGTGAAGATTGCAAACCTATTTTTGTTAAACTGATAATCGCTCTTCGCTCTACACTGATCTTACATATGATTATCCCTAGGCTCATGGTTAGAAAATATGGGAAGAAAATATATAAAACACAAAATTATTATATTTTGTAAATTTCTAGAAAACATTCCCAGCAACCTTTCTAAACATGTTTGATGCATACACAGTAGCATTTGTACCTTCAGTTTTACCATGTCATAGTTACTTGTTGCATGTGAATTATGTGAAAAGTGGATGTTTGTCTTTTGGTCTAATCGATTGGCTCAGTTCAATTCACTTCTTCTAAGTAGGTTCAAAAGTTAAACTTTTGAAAAAAGAAAAAATCACTCTGGTTGCCAAATAAGATTTGAGATCATAACTCTGCAGTAACACATAATTACCTGAAGTTAGTGTAGATCATCATTGTTAATGAATGACATGACTTTATGATAACTAGTCCTCTATATAACTGGCTGACCCAGTTACCCTTTGACATAAGGGGTCTTCGGTCATACTGTTTGTTGGGATTTCAAATTATAAATTATTTTGGCTGATTAATTAACAGAATGTGCATGTCTGTTTTTTTTTTTAGATACCATTACCATCAACCACAAAGACTCACGTTGGGTTGGTGCCTGGTGGCTGGGCTTTTTGTTAACTGGTGGAGTGATGTTACTGGCTGGAATTCCATTTTGGTTCCTTCCCAAGTCTCTTCCTAAGCAGGGTGAGACTGAAACTGAGAAAGAATCAAATGAGGGCGAGCAGGACCGTTTCATTCCCGACAAACCAGCTCCAGTTTCCATGGCAGCTCTGGCTAAAGGTGTGCATTTCATCAAATATAAAATTTTTCATTCATAACATTTGGTCGAGATATTGAGCACACATGACCCATGAACTTGCGTAAAATCTTCTTCTTGATATTTTCTAGATTTTCTGCCATCACTGAAAATACTCTTCAGCAACACGATTTACCTGCTCCTTGTATGCACTGCATTTGTGCAAATCAGTGGTTTTATAGGAATGATAACATTTAAGCCAAAATTTATGGAGCAAATTTATGGCCAGTCAGCATCGAGGGCCATATTTTTGATAGGTAGGTTTACATGTATTGCATTTATTTTTGTCTGTTTTATATACATTTTCAGTCTATTTAAAGACACATAGCGATGTCATTCTACAAAATAAGTGCCAGTTGTGTCCCTCTTATTCATGTATATAAAAATCCATTACTACTGTATATTAGCAAATATAGCATTTTTACATATAATAGAATTCATTTATATCCCTATTACAGAAATTAAATATTGTATAAACCATTCAGGTTAGTGCTGAGGAGTAGAAGCTGTGCCCTGGCCATTCAGCGGTGTAGTTCAGGGTTGTGGCAGAACCCTGTTTGAGAGCGGCTTTGTATCTTCTCTGTTTCCTCCTATAGGGAATGAGGGTTACATGCGTAAAAAAATATTTGACATTACATCGACATACTGAGGTACAGTATAGGGTCCCTATGAAAAGCACCATGGAGTTAGCCCTCACTCCTAGGGGGCACGGCTCGCCTTGTGTCTGGTACGCCAAAGTGATGGCATCCACTAGCCAGCAGGTCAACCTCTGTTTGGAGACAGCCTTTTCCTTTTGCTGACCCCCAAAGCTGACAAAAAGCTGCTCAGAGCTTCTAAAGTTCTACATGTGGTCTATGCAAATGCACAGAGTGTGAACAGGACACAGCAACGCAAGGGTTGGGTCTGCCTCCTCCAAAGGTAGCACGTGCAAGTTCCTGGAAAGGAGTAGTGGGAACTCCAGGCTGGGGCCTGAAGATAACGTGAGGTGATCACGGTAAGGAGTGCTGGATTTTAAGCTCAACTGACTTTAGCAGCTCAAAGGGAGCTCTTTGCAGTCCAGAAGGGAGATCCCCAAATGAGATCCTAAGAGAGGGCAAGGCACAGCCTAGGAGGATTTAACCTTTTTGTACTCTCAGGAACCTGATGATCAGGTCATTCCTACAGACCTGCCGTCCACTGCATTGTGATGTGCTGTGATAGCAGCAACATACATTTTCAAGGTGGAGTGGAACAACACTGATTGGGTCTTCTCAGCAAGAAGAACACCACTCAGGGTACAGATTCCACTTCAGGACATAAGCTGGCCAAGTAGAGAGAGCTTTGGCATAAGTGATAATAGCTATCATGGCCTGTGACAGTCCACTTAAGTCTTCCGTGTCCCATCCGAGAGTTCAGCACTGACTGGGCATGCTTGTTCATGAGACACGCCATCATGTTGACAGAGTCCAACTCCATACTGAGAAAAGGGATGCTCTGTATTGGGGAGAGCTTGCTCTTCTTCCAGTTGACTCAAAGAGCACAACAGATCTCAAGAGTGAGGTAGAATGAGCCAATTGTCAATATAGTTGAGCATATGAATGCTCACTGCCCTTAATGGGGCAAGGGCACCCTCAGCTACTTTGGTGAAGATGCGGAAAGAAAGGGACAATGCGAAGGGGAGGACTTTGTACTATTTGAAGACTCTGTACGCATGACCCTCAAAAGCAAACTGAAGAAAGGTCTGTATTGAAGCAAGATCAAGAAGTATGCATACTTCATGCCGGACACTGCAAACCAATCTTGGGGCAGTATGTATGTGTAAATGCGCCTCTGAACATCCTGAAATGGAGCTTGTGTGGGTCAGGCTCTATTGTGTCGCTAGACTCCCAGACTCCTTACGAGCGGCAACAAAGGGACAATCGATGCAACCGACAGCAAGGGGGAGCACTGGGGCCCAACTCGGGAGACAACACATCCCAGAGTAGAGGGGGTGTGTGTGGTGTAGCACTTTCCTGGCTTCCTGGATCCCATGAGGGACTGGCTAGAGACACGTGAGGAAGCAGTGCTTCCTTGAGGTGTGATCTATTGGCCTATTGGAAATAGGGAGGACAGGGCTGGGAGTAAGAAAGCGTAACGTTGCTGAATGCCAGACTGCGTTGAGTACAACAAAGGCAACAAAAGGTCTCCTCTGGGGCAAGGAGCGTTGCTGTCACCACCTCCTGGGAAAGAGCAATCCCCTCCATCTCTGTATTGCCCCTATCAGGACTGCTTCGCCATCTGCCTGGCTTAGTGTGAGAGAACACTGCAGGCTTGGTGGAGGCTCAAGCCTGATGTTCTCAGCTGCCTGGGAAAGCATGGCTTTCAACTCATGGTCAGACTCTGATTTTGCAACCACCCCAGAAGGGGGAAGCTTAGCCGAGTTGTCATCTTGTGAGGACTCTTGTCCCTTCTTCCTTTGGAAATCTACAAACATTGTCTCAGCATGCATAGGGCCCAAACCTGAAAGACAGCGATCTTGACCATCAGAGAAGGTCAGGAAACAACTGCATCCAGAAACACACAGACAAAGCAACATCTTTAAAATGACGTACTCTCCATCTCCCTCTCTTAGGGAAACTGCTCTTTTGTACCGAAGCCCCCAGGGGTATCGCAGCATTAAACTATGCTCTGTCAACCCTGTTACTGTTCAGAAGGCACAATCATGTTCAATACAATTTATGAATTTATGGAATGTTTCCATGGAATGTTTCAAATCTTTTTAAAGTGTATTTAAAAAAATAAATGTGTTATGTTGTGACTTAAAAAACATAAATTAAAATATCTAAATATAAAACTTAATCTAATAAAATGAATTATATAAATAAATAAAAAAGGTAATCATCTTTGGTCTTTCCAGGCATTATGAATCTACCAGCTGTGGCTTTGGGAATTGTCACCGGTGGGTTTATAATGAAGAAGTTCAAACTGAATGTTCTCGGAGCAACCAAGATCTGCATTGGAACATCTCTTCTGGCTTTCTCTACACTGCTTATTCAGTATTTCCTGCAGTGTGACAACACACAAGTGCCTGGACTTACAGTGTCATATCAAGGGTAAACAATAAAAAAAATTGTATTACAGTTTATTGTGTTGTTTATCATTTTTTTTTCTGGCATTTTTCAATGGAATTGTATATTTTAACTATGTTCTGTTTGGGTCTCAGAGGCCACATTCATTTTTAATGCCAATAAGTGTAATTAAACTGAATTTTAAGTGGTTTAATCATTCAATGTATTTCTAACAGGGTTCCACAGGTGTCCTATCAGCAGAATACACTAATTTCTCTGTGTAACATGGGTTGCTCCTGCTCTCTCAAACACTGGGATCCCATATGTGCCAGCAATGGCTTGACCTATGCCTCCCCCTGCCTTGCTGGCTGCCAAAGCTTCACTGGTGATGGCAAGGATATGGTAAGCTAATCTTTCCAGACATCTACATGCCTGCTGCTAAATCAGTTTTGCCAACAGACCTCTATACATTTATAGCATTTTGTTTTTCATTTTGTTATTGTAATATTCAAAGGCCCTCAACAGAGACACATTTGAGTAGCCAAAACATAAGAAACCAATGTGAATCTGCAGTCATGCAACATATGTTTGCTTGTAAAACAGATTTTAGCCATCAAGATTTGTTTGGATTATAGACCATGGGCTTAGAAATAGTTGTATTTTTGTATGTTTCTGGTTAATGGCATTTGTTTCATCAACAGAAAAGCCAGCTCATAGGCAGAAAAAAAATTATTATATTTAGATTTTTTTTTTTCAAAAGAACATTTTTTATGTTTTTTATTTTATTTTATTATTTTAGGGAGAACCCCACAATATATGTACAGTAATTACAATGTATGTAGAATGCTAGAACTAGTAGTACTAGAATACTCCTGGAATAGAACCCCTATTCTATTCTATTCTATATTATTTATAGACATGTAGACTCTATATTGTGAAATCCTTAAAATAGGGTCCAAAAATCTGAGACCACCAGGGATGCTTGTTTTTTGTCCACCAAAAAAAAGAAAAGAAAAAAAGACAAATTATGTTGTCAGAATAAAAATTTGAGTAGAAATTCGTACTGAAAATATATTTGATTTTCAATATGTTTCGGTATTTACTATGTGCCCCTTTTGACAGCAGCTCCAGAGCTGCCTTGGACCAGTTTATGTAAACCTGATGATCCATGTAATGCCAGCATGATTTGCGAGTGTTCCAAAGAGCATGTTGTGCGCTTCAATGAAATCTGACCTTTTGTACAAGAAAAAAGAAAAACAGTGATGTGAAAAAATGGTTTGCTTACATTTGATTACTGACCTAGAATCAGTATTACATATTTGTTTAACCTAAATTTCTTAATTGAAATGTTCAAAATCCTAAAACTTTGTTTATTGCTAGGTTTAAAAAAGCCCCAGATTTCATATGTATTGTACTCTCATGTATTTGCCGGTGTTGTAGTAGTTGACACAATCTGACTCTTTTCAAAGGTATTCCACAACTGCACCTGTATTGGAGATTCGCCTTTCCCATATGCAAACATGTCAGCAGTGCTGGGCCAGTGCTCTCGCAAGAGTGATTGTGACTACATGTTTAAGTTCTACATGGCGGTGACAGTCATTGGTGCCTTTCTCTCGGCTTGTGGGGCCACACCAGGTTACATTATTCTGCTCAGGTAATGAATCTCCCCAAAAGTGCAAAAAAAGACACCTTTGAAAGACTTAAATGTCTTTAAGGAATCCTATGTAATACAGTATGCTGGTCATTCTTTGTGCCTATTCATCCTCATGACACAATAATATGTTTCTTTATTGGTATATGCAGTGGTATATTCTGACTGAAGTCAACTAATATATACTTCCACCCTGTTAGGGTCAGGGACATTATTAAAAATTGTATTCTGTCTTATGGTATGTTATGTGAGAAGCCGGTTTAATATTGGGTTTAAAAATTAATATATGTCCTCATGACTGCTCTTTTCTTAGATCCATAAATCCAGAACTAAAGTCTTTGGCTCTTGGTATTTACACTTTGATTGTTCGGACTCTGGGTAAGAAGATCTCTTTCTTTCTCAACACAAGATTATTAAACAACAGAAAAAAAGGTATCTTTAGTTGATCTGAGAAACTTTTCTAGGTGGCATTCCCCCTCCAGTTTATTTCGGAGCCTTGATTGACAGGGCCTGTCTGAAATGGGGTTCAAAACAATGCGGAGGGAGAGGAGCGTGTCGTATCTATGATTCTGGTGCCTTCAGGTTTGTAAACTTACACTGGCACTTGCAGAAATTCAACATTTTCATTCACACTTTTCCAAAATAATGCCATTAGTGATACAAAAAAATGTCATTTGCTAGATGGTCCGATATGTCTGTAATGTCTGTATAAAAGCCTGTTCACACCAAGATCGATAAGTATTAAGATAACGATAAAGATATAGTTCTAAAAGTCATTTTCAACATAAAATAATAGCAGAGTCCACACCACAACTATAACGTCAAAGGCACAGAGAATAATTGGAATCACTGTCAAAACTTTTTTTTTTCCAGCTGATGAACGATAAAAACATTGACAGCCAATCAGAATCAATCCTGCTGTAACAAGCTCGGGAATTTAAAGCGGGAGACGAGCGTGCACTTAGAATAAACGGACGATATCGTCCACTGGTGTGAATGCTAATCTTTATAGTTATCTTTATAGCTACCGTTCTTTGTGTAAATGAGCCACAGAGCCACAGTAGTTATGTATTGTAACAATGGAAAAATGATATATCCTTAAATTTAATTTGATGAAAAGCTACTGTGACAACAATAATCCATGATCCTTCTGAAAACATTCACATTCTAACTTGCCATGTATGTGAACTGTTTGCAGCTAGCAATTGTAATACAATTAGTGAATTGCTCTATCTTATTTCTTAGTGTATGAAGAAAAATATAGGATAGGTACATGATGGCAAAGGTTATCTGAAGTCTTTCTCTGATTACATGCATGTTGCCACATGGACTTTCGTCATAACTTTTTATGGGGCAAACCACCAAAGTTGTATCATACCTTAGTGTTTTTGTTGTTGCAAAACTGTTTTGTTAATGAATGACCAGAATAATCCTCAGAATCGTTTGATGGTCTCTTGTTCAAGACCACTAGCACCACCATCAGCTCAAAATGTAACTTTTCTGCAACTACAACAATTGGTGATACGAACACTGGTGGTGGTTGAGGAGAGACTCCCTCATGATTGTAAAGTGCTTTGGGAGTACAGCAATACACAATAAATTACTACAGTATATTTAAAAAAAAGCCTTATTTAAAGGGGTCATATGACGTTGCTAATAAGAACATTATTTTGTGTATTTGGTGTAATGCAATGTGTTTATGCGGTTTAAGGTTAAAAAAACACATTATTTTCCATATAATGTACATTATTGTTTCTCCTCTATCGACCGCCTTTCTGAAACGCGTCGATTTTTACAAAGCTCATTGTTCTAAAAAAGCGAGGTGTGCTGTGATTGGCCAGTTATCCAGTGTGTTGTGATTGGCCGAATGCCTCAAGCGTGTGACGGAAATGTTACGCCCCTTACCACACTGTGATGCCGTCTCCCAGCAGTACGAGACAAAACCAATAAAACCCATTACAAATGAGGCATTTGTTGCATCCAGTGGCGACATAATTACTGATTATAATGACTTATACAGTATTTTTACGTGTTGCATTACGTATCGCACTGCGTAAACATAAAATCATGTCTGCATTTGTGGTCGGAGAAACAACAAACAACAAGCTACCCTACACTGCTTAAAACTCGCGTTTGAATCATCAGTGGCAAATTATTTAAATATAAAAAACGTACTTACAGGCTGTAAGTCAGAAGCGCCAGACTGTCCTTGCAAAGTTGGAACTGCCCAACTTTATAGAAACAGCCTTTGTGCCACAGACGCATTGTAGGCTACTGGTTCAGGAAACAGTCCTCATCCTCCATAAAATGCGCAGCACACATCTGAATATTTGGGTTGAACTGTTCTGGAACAGTGTTGTTAATACAACTGATTTCACTGATTTCTAGTTGTGTCTTCTTTTGGAAGGCCAAACAACAGTGGAACAGTGTTGTAAATAGTACTGATTTCACTGATTTCTAGTTGTGTCCTCTTTTGGAAGGCCAAACAAAGTAGTTTCGCTTTCACAATGAAACACACAGCGACTCCACAACATGGCAGCAGCGGCAACAGCAAGAATTAAAGTTACGCCTTTTTTCTTTGCGTGAACATTTTGGCGGCATTATGCACATCTTCCCACATAGTGATGTAGATATGTGGGGGTGTGTTAGAACGAGCCGTTTTACACGGTTTAACGAAGGTAACAATCTTTATTGTTCATATTTCAGAATCTTTTGTTTACAAAGCACAATACTGACTATACACAATATGGAGCAATTTGGATCTGATTTTCAACCCGGAACATTCAAAATGTAACAGGACTAGCATTACAAATATTTGAAAAACAAATAGTTTATTAACTATTGCAGGTGTCTCCACTGTGATGGGGTTGACAGCTTTTGGGTTTACTATATACAACTGAAACGTTAACATTTTAGGAATAGCCTTTGTTCTAGAAAAGCTTTACTTTACTTGCCATGTTGACATTTTGTAGTCATGAAGTCTACAAAACTACATACAAAACTTGCATAGATATAGAGATTCTTTCTTTCTTTTTTTGTCCTGCAGAAACGCTTTCTTGGGTCTTATTTATGGCCTGTATTCCTTATCGTACATATTGTGGGGAGTCGTGTACATTAGACTGTCTCATCGCGAAAAGAAGCTTGCACTAAAGAACCAATTAAAAGCTCCAGAACAGGATGACAATGGTGTTTCTGCTGGCAATGGGAATACATCTTCAGCTACTGTAAAATGCAGCGAAAACCCAGACCAGGAGACCACTATCTGAAGTTATGCTTCCAAAGACAAATGTGTGTATTGCACCAAAAAGTGTTAAAGGAGATTTCCATATCCATGTAAAATGTAAAGGTTTTGGCCATGAAACTGTGATAATTTGTACATTTATTGATTACATATACATATATTTGTATTTGTTATTTTTTATACATTTAAAGAACAACATTTAAGTAGTATCAGAACTAGAAAGTAATGCATTATACTCAAAGAAAACACTAGTTATGGATAATATGGTTCATCAGACCAGAACATTGTTACATAGAATTATCTGTTATCATGTCAGAACATTGTAAGCTCACTGTTTCATAGGAGTTTCTTGTCATGTCATGATGATATACATTGAGGTCACATATATCGTCACACCTTGTCATGTTTTATATGTATATATATGTTGTTTTGTAAAACCTAGTGAATTTCTGGATGGAACTGAATGCAACAGAAAGTTATGGACAGTATGTAAAGTACATGGAACATTGGAGTGTTTGGCAAAATTACTCATGTACTGTGATTGTGTACTTTATAATACTTAAAACCCTTATGAAGTAAACAAAAAGTAAAATATTAGTAAAAACTGTCTTTTTAATAGGAATATCAGCCAATTTGCATGAGCACGCCATTACTTTATACAAATGTAAGCATTAATTTTGTTAAATTTTGTTTAAATAAAAAAGTCTTTAACATGTAGAGTAATAGAACTTGTCTGTGTTGTCTTTCTTCATCATTGTAATGCAGTAATATCATTTTTTTTTAAAATAGTGGTCTTTCTAGCGAGTGATATTTTCTACACACGGTTTAACGAAGGTAACAATCTTCATATTTCAGAATCTTTTGTTTACAAAGCACAATACTGACTATACACAATATGGAGCAATTTGGATCTGATTTTCAACCAGGAACATTCAAAATGTAACAGGACTAGCATTACAAATATTTGAAAAACAAATAGTTTATTAACTATTGCAGGTGTCTCCACTGTGATGGGGTTGACAGCTTTGGGTTTACTATATACAACTGAAACGTTAACATTTTAGGAATAGTTGAATAAGTTAAAAATGGGCAAAAAGCTTCATGGTAACACTTTTCGTGAACCTTGTATACACTCTTAAAAATAAAGGTGCTTCAAAAGGTTCCATAGCGATGCCATAGAAGAACCATTTTTGGTTCCACAAAGAACCATTCAGTCAAAGGATCTTTAAAGAACCATCTCTTTCTTACCTTTTTATAATCTGAAGAACCTTCTTTCACCACAAAGAACCTTGTGTGAAACAGAATAATTGTTCTTAAAAAAAAATTTAATTGTTCCATGAAGATATTTAGTAAATTTCCTACAGTAATTATATTACAACTTCATTTTTGATTAGTAATATGCATTGCTAAGAACTTCATTTGGACAACTTTAAAGGCGATTTTCTCAATAGATTTTTTTTGCACCCTCAGATTCCAGATTTTCAAATAGTTGTATCTCGGCCAAATATTGTCCTATCCTAACAAACCACACATCAATGGGAAGCTTAAAATTGACCCTTATGACTGGTTTTGTGGTCCAGGGTCACATATATCCCTGCGGGTCTGAGTCTTAGCTTTCAGACTCAGCCTTGATCTCAAGAATGTTCTTCCCTGACACTGCTGTCCCTTTGGTAAGTAGACTAACTGTTAACACTTTATAATAAGGTTCAGCGTCCTTCAGCTCACCTTCCTTCCTTTCCTTATTGCAATAATGAGTTAACATTAGTTAGTATCATGAACTAACAATAAACTTTTTGGTAACATTTTAGAATAGGAAACACTTATTTGCTATTAACTACGACTTTTCCCTCAATAAATTCCTTTCTTTTCTTTTCTTTTCTCTCCCACATAACAGGACGTTTAAATGACTCAGCTAGCTCAGTATGGTACCATAATGCAGATGCTATTGTGAGTCAAACAACGGAAACATGTGTCTGTATTTATAAAGTATTCAATGAAGACACTAAGTACATCAATCCTTCTCATCTCTCTCTCTTCCTGTCTATATGGCGTTTTGAGTATTTTACCACTTCCTCTCCATGTTTCCACTGACTCATCACAACATTCTAATCTATTTGTCTTAATATATACATATACAGTGGGTACGGAAAGTATTCAGACCCCCTTAAATTTTTCACTCTTTGTTATATTGCAGCCATTTGCTAAAATCATTTAAGTTAATTTTTTTCCTCATTAATGTACACACAGCACCCCATATTGACAGAAAAACACAGAATTGTTGACATTTTTGCAGATTTATTAAAAAAGAAAAACTGAAATATCACATGGTCCTAAGTATTCAGACCCTTTGCTGTGACACTCATATATTTAACTCAGGTGCTGTCCATTTCTTCTGATCATCCTTGAGATGGTTCTACACCTTCATTTGAGTCCAGCTGTGTTTGATTATACTGATTGGACTTGATTAGGTGCCACACCTTGATTAGGATTCAAATGAAGGTGCCACACACCTGTCTATATAAGACCTTACAGCTCACAGTACATGTCATATTACTAATGAAAAATTTAATTTTGATATATTTACGGTAGGAAATTTACAAAATATCTTCATGGAACATGATCTTTATTTAATATCCTTTGGCATAAAAGATTTTTGGCATAAAAGAAAAATGGATAATTTTGACCCCATACAATGTTTTTTTGGCTATTGCAAAAAACCCCAGCGATTTAAGACTGGCATTGTGGTCCAGTGTCAGTGTCTTAAATCGCTGGGGTATATTTATATATATATATATATACACACACACACACACACACACACACACACACACATATATATATATATATATATATTCCTATTTCTGTTCAGGAATGCGTCCATTGTTAAATCTTAATCCTCAGCTGTATGAGAGCAAAACTGTTTGGGTGAATGGACCGTTTGCAGTCACACACTGCCCAGGATTATTTTGGTTTAACTAAAACCATTAAAAAATAAAAAAAATAAAGCAATTTAAACTAGTTGTCAATGAAGCATTTCCCATTTTCATAGGTCTATATTGAACTAAAATAACTGACACTGAAAATAAATAATAATTTAATAAAAAATTTTTTTTTTTTTTAAATCTCATGCTAAAACACTAAAATAACGCTGATTCTGCTAAATATATTAATAGGACATTCCTCTGGCATCAGCCCATAACTGCAGCATGGTCACAACCTGACTAGACTCAGTGGGGTTTACCTGCTGTTTCAAATCATTCTCAAAGCTTTTTAATGAGGACACAATATCACAGTTCCTGCTGCTTTGGAGCAAAATCCAAAACTCAAGCGTGTTTAGAATGTTTTAATGAAGTATTAAAAAAGCTTCATGGTAACACTTTCAGTGTTTCACACCTAACCCTAACCTTGATTGTATAGTCATTTATAATGCACTCTCTATTAATTATCTTAATTTATGTCAAACGAGTTGATCCAGATGGAAATCTAAAGCAGCCGAAAAATGATAAATAATCGTTAAAATACACTTTTTGATTATTTCCAGCTATATTGTGCATATTATATATATTTTGTTAATCATCCACTATTTATATAGGGCACCGAGTGATTCAAAAGTTCCACTGGTACCCCTTATTTTTTTGAAAACAAACAAACAAACAAATAAAAAATAAATAAATGCTACTCTATGTAAAATATAAATATGTATATGAGAATGAAAGCTGTAAAATATCAGGAGCTGAGCTATTCTAGGAGCAAAAAGAGCCTCTTTCAGCAGCATGTGTTGAGCTGTGGGTGTCCCTTGAGCTGGCACGTTGTTGGTATAGAAATGTACCGAGCTTTTGTGTGCATGAGCTTGGAGAATTAACCACAGGCTTATGCAGAGACCTAGAAACATGTCTTCTCTCCAAGAGGGAGGATACTCCCTCTGCCCATGTTAGATACATCACACTTTGGCACATGTTTCTCTTGGTTCCTTTGTTTTCCCAGAACCACCTATAACAGTAATTTTCTTCTGCCTTAGATGAACGGCTGTGAGAAGAGTTTCTGACTGGGAGGGGAGTATTAAACCAAACTAAATCTGAGAGGATTATCAGAGTAAGTCATGAAAAAGGCTTTCTCTGTTTCATGAGGTTTGCTTTTCCTTTTTCCTTTTTTGCATAACATTTTTATTTTTTGTATCTTGTATGTGTGGATTTATTTATTTATTTATTGTTTGAATGGAGTTTAATCTATCTATCTATCTATCTATCTATCTATCTATCTATCTATCTATCTATCTATCTATCTATCTATCTATCTATCTATCTATCTATCTATCTATCAAAGATAGAGTAACAAACTCATTCTAAATAAGATGTCTCTGGGAAAAAATGAGTTGTGATTTGTGTTTTTTACTTTCAAAATAATTGACAAAACAACTTTTGTTAATCAACTAATTAATTAAATAAATATGGAAAACATTATTAATGTTGTTGCTGTTATCAGAGTTGATAAATTATCCCTTTTTGTATTAGAGCTGAATACTTTATCAGAACAAAAATAAAATATATATATAAAAAAATACTAAAATATAATTTTTTGATAATATCATGACAGCAAAATGTCTGAGCCTACTGCAGAGAACAATGGTAAGCCGACCAGCCAACACAATCTTTGCATTCCAGGAAAAGAGGCCTCAAAGGACCCCTGCTGGTCCAGTCTAAAGGTATGTTTGCTTTACTAAATGCAAGTGTGTATATGTTTTTATATATATACACTGAACAAAATTATAAACGCAACACATTTGTTTTTGCCCCCATTTTTCATTAGCTGAACTCAAAGATCTAAGACCTTTTCTATGTACATAAAAGGCCTATTTCTCTCAAATATTGTTCACAAATCTGTCTAAATCTGTGTTAGTGAGCACTTCTCATTTGCCGAGATAATCCATCCACCTCACAGGTGTGGCATATCAAGATGCTGATTAGACATCATGATTATTGCACATGTGTGCCTTAGGCTAACCACAATAAAATGCCACTCTAAAATGTGCAGTTTTACTGTATTGGGGGGGTCTGAAAACCAGTCAGTATCTGGTGTGACCACCATTTGCCTCACACAGTGCAACACATCTCCTTTGCATAGACTTGATCAGGTTGTTGATTGTGACCTGTG